TGGTACTGCACCCACAGGTAGCTGCCCTGAGTCGGGCACAGGTCTCCAAAGTAGGCCCCGTCTGCTGCCACCTGGCATGCCTGCAGCCCCTGGCAGTGGCCTGGGAAGCAGGAACAGTGTGCAAGACAAAAGAGGAAACATTCAGCAGAGCCAAACAGAGATGAATTGCCTCCCATTCATTCATTCATTCATGCATTTACCCACCGTCAACCCAACCAATGTCTGCTGGTATCTATGGAAGACCAGGCTCTGGGCTAGGTACTCGGGGGGAGAGAAGTAGGCTTCCTGCCCTCAAGTAGCTCAGGGTCCAGCACATTGGTTCTCTAAAGTTAACATACACCACACCCTCTGGAGGGCTTGTGAAGACACCGCATTTCAGACCATTCCAGACCATTCTAGACCATTCTAAACCCAGTCCCCAGGGATTGGGATTCAGTAGGTGTGGAGGCAGCTGCAGAATTTGCATTTCTAACAAGTTCCCAGGGGATGCTGATGCAGACGGATGCTGCTGGCCCGGGGACCCCGTTTTGGGAACCACTGGTCCAGTAGCATCCAGTCAGGTGGCCTAAAATAGAAATTGACACCCCAAGACCCAGCAGAGAAGGGGCAACTTTAGGAATCCTGGGTCTTTCAGGGGTGCCAGGTGCCCACAGAAGGGAGGAGGGTGGAGCCCACACCAGAAACTTCAGGGTCACCCAACACCTCTCCCTCGTGCCCGTGGAGATTAATTACATCTGCAAAGTACCTTTTGCCATGTAAGTCAACCTGTTCACAGACGTGGTATCTCATTATACCCACAGTTCCAGGGATTGCAGTGAAAAATATTAGGAGCCATAATTCTGCAGATGCTGGCCAGGAAGAGATAAGAAGCCAAGGTGCTTCTCATCCTGCCTCTCACAGCAGTTCCTCCCGAGCTCCAGCTCTTTCTGGACGGGCCCTCCCTAGACGGTCCCAGCTCCCAAGGTGAGCCTCTTGCTCATGGTCCTAGCACCTGCTGGATAGCCCTGACTTCTGGTTTGGGGAAGACCATCCCTTCCAGCTGTCCCTCTAGTCTGTAGAGGTGGTAGCAGCTTTCCGTCGCTGCTCATCTCAGGGTTGCAGCATTATTCCGTGTTTGGCTTCTCAGCACTTCTATGACTTGGGAAACCAATTCCCTGCATTAAATTCCCTCTGTTGAAAGACCTAGCATGATTTCTGTTTTGCGGATGGGGCCTAGTTGGATAGATCCCAATCTGAGTTACTTCTACCATATGTATCCACAGCACTAGACCATAATCTCCAAGAATGGGAAGGGTGTTTTTCCTTCTTTTTTTTTTTTTGAGTCTCTTCCCCTCCCCTGCCCCCAGCAGTCCCCTAATAGAAGCTCCAGTTAACAGGCAGCCCTCAGCATTCAACTACCATCACCAGAGCATGCAGGAATGTAAACTGCATTTGCAGAGTGTGTACAAGGTTCTCCTGACCCTCACAGGAGCCCTGGGAAACTTAGAAAGATTCTGCAACTTGCCTTGGCTCGCGCAGGGATTTGAACTCAGACTTGCCACCCTCTTGCTGTGTAAACTGCTGCCTACCTCTTGGGACGTTCTGCCCTACCCTTGAATGTGGTCTAAGCGGTCTACACTGGGGATACCAGCAGGGTTCACAGCACAGGCCACAAACCACACCACGCAAAACATCCAGCATCCCCTTGGAGCTGATAAACTGCCTCAAGATGCGGAGGCCACGTCCCTGCTGCGTGTTTTTCGCAACACTGTTGGTATCTGGCACAACCATCCCAGGCTCTCTCTCTGTCACTGTGGTCACACTGCAATCTAGACCCCGGGCCTGGCACCTCACGTCCCCCACCACCCTGCCCTCAGCCATTCTGTGGCTGAATCCTGCACTTCCCCAATAGCCAGGCTCCTGGTCTTGGCCCAGGAAAGCCTTCCCGAACCCCACCTCTGCCCCCTGAGCAAGGGACCCCGTCTGGTTAAACAGGAACCCCAGCCACCCCCATATGTCTGTCTTCAGGTTAAATATACTCAAAGAGAAGTCTAATTCCCAAATCTGTGTTCTTTCCATGACCCCATGTGGCCTCACATAATCCACTTAAAAAAAATAAAATAAATCCAATCTAATTCCAGGATTTAGCACGTCTTCCAGACAAACTTAACACCCCTCACCCCAACCCAGGGCAGGGAAATGCCTCGCTGTTCCAACTGTGGCCACAGACCAGCAGTGGTGGCATCACTTGAGAGCCGGTTGGAAATTGAGTGGGAAGTTTTTAAATGTTTTTGTCCACTGCTGTATCTCCAGCACACAGAACCACGCCTGGCACATAACAGGTACAAGATGAGTCTGACATGAGTAAATAAATAGGACCTTTGACTCGGCTTGGTCACAGTGTTTAGGTGATCGCCTGTGTCCATCTCCCTATTGGACCATGGGCTCTTTGAAAAACAGAGTACGTTTGATTCATTCTTGTACCCACAGAGCCCAGGATGGTTCATGGCACAATGTTGGTGCTCAATAAATGCTTATTGGCTGAATGAATAAGTGACCAGGGCACTTTAGAGACGGACCCCCCAGGGCCCCTCCCAGATCTTCTCCTCTGACCCTGCCCAATGGGGTGCAGGGCTGCTCCCTGGGCTGTGGGTGCCACGTTTCAGAAACTTGCAGCTGAGCCTTCGAGGAAACAGCCCGCCCGGCCCCAGCAGTGCCTGGATGAGGGAGGCACATCCGTCCGGCCTGGGCCTTTCCTCCTCAGAGGGGCCACGGCCTCAGGAATGCCAGAGCAACGAGGAGGCCGCGCACACCGCCTGGCTGGTTCCAGCATCTCCTCTCCCCACGCCTGCTCCAAGGGAGCAAGGACAGTGTGGTCGGCACGGGGAGGGGAGAGGACCAGGCCGCAGTGCCAAGGGAGGGGAGCCTCGGGAAGTACCAGGCACCTCCCGTGAATCTTCAACGGGCCTCTGGGCAGAGGCAGAGGCTCAGAGGGACACATGTCGGGAGGCACATGTGGGGAGACTGGCCCCGAGTCCTCACGGCTCCCAGCCTGGGCGCAAGTGTCCTCACTTAGCCAAGAAGCAGCAGACCACCTGCCTTCCCAGGACCCTGCAGGCTGGGCCGTGGTCCCTGCGACTGAGAGAGGGCTCCCCAGCATCCTGGACAATGGAAGCCTCTGAGGACTTTGCACCTTCCAGGAGGGTGCAGGAAGCCCCCACAATCCCTGAAATGGAATCCTTGGCACCGGGCAAGTGCTGCTCAGAGGCACATTTAATCCGATTTGGAAAAACAAAGCCCTAGAGAAGATGTCCCACATGAACAGGAGATAGCATCAGGAGCATCTGTCTCAGCATGATTCACGGTAGCCGAGATTAAGAAACAGCCCGTATGTCTCTCAACAGGAGAAGAGACAAATTATGGCGCCGTGACACAACAGATGAGACAAATAGACGAGAACATGTATTGAGATGGATAATACAGCTCAAAACATAACGTTGAGCAAAACACGACAGGAAAAAAAAGAGAAAAAAAGCACATTGCAGAATGACACATACAATATACCATTTATGGAAACATTCAAATCCTGTAGAACAACACTGCATGGTGTCTGGGGATGTGTGCATACAAGGTGAAAAGGAGAATATGCGTGTGATTAGCAAACACGGACTCCGCGACAGGAACTGGACCAAGGAGGGCCACGTGGGAGCCACGTGATGTCCCTATTTTTTAAACAAGGGGACCTTAATCAAATGTGGCATAGTGTTAAGGTTTGACACAGGTAGATCATGGATCTGCGAGACTGTACAATATTTTTTATTCTTGCCTGTATGCTTGGAATATTTCAAAATTAAAAGAATTAAGTTTTAAAAAGTAATGTTTCCCACCTCAGGGAGCAAAACGCCCACCCGATCCACAGGCCACAGACCCCACCTCTGCTTCCTGCTCGGTGCCGTGGTCCGATCGGCTGGTTTTCTCAAATGTTGGAGGCCCAAGGTCAGAGAGGAAGATCGTTAGAACCTTCCGGAACTTTTTGCTGGGCACAGAACACCAGCAACTGCCCTCTGCTTTCAGCCAGAGCTGCGGAGCCCCTGGGCCCTACCTGCCACCTCGTCCTTGACGTCAACCCAGCTGCAGTCCTCCGTGAGGTCCGAGGGATGCCCGGCATCCTGGGTGCAGTAATGGGGGGTCCGGCGCCCGTAGAAGGCGTCCTGGACCCGGATGACCTGCCCAGAGCCGCAGTGCATGGTGGCGTTGAGGCCCTCGCAGGCCAGGCTCTGGCCGACCCCTGTGGCAAAAGGAAGGTGACACCGCAGCGGGGTTCACAGTTACAGATGGGCACGTGCCAGTTTATGGGAAGCGGAAGGTCCTGGGGTCCAGGGCTGTGAGATGCCAGGAACCGGCAGGAGCCAGCTCCGCAGGGGTGAGAAGTATATCTTTTTGTTTTGTTTTTTTTTTGTTTGTTTTATCCAGCAAGCTCAGATTTTCTCTCAAAGGGGTGAGAAGTATAAAACAGTCATGGAGAGCATTGCTCCGGAGCCAGGCTGCCCGGGGTCAGATCCAGCCCAGCCTCCCACGGCTGTGTGACCTTCGGCAGGTTAGTTGGCTTCTCTGTGCCCCCTCTGTAAAGGGGGATATCAACACCAACGTCGCAGGGTCATTAGGAAGATGGAGTTTGTGTGTCTAGAGCAAGAGCTGCGCAAGCGGCAACGGTTATTCTGCCTGTTTTGAGCGTCGCCCTTGAGCACTGTCTCGCAGCAATGCCTGCACACCGGCACGCGGGCAGGCACACAGGGAGAGAGACAGGGACACCCAGATAGGCACCGGGAGGGAGAGGGAGGCAGAGACCCACAGAGAGACACAGGGAGAGACGGAGACGGAGAAACAGAAAGAGTTGGGGCAAAAGAGGAGGGAAAGAAAGACCGAGAGAAAACTGAGACAGAGAAGGGGAGGCAGAGAAAGAGAAGGGCAGAGAGAGATGGATCAGGCGGCAGGCAGGTGACAGGGCGGGCAGGCAGCTCACCAAACTCGCAGATGAAGGCGAAGGCGTGTTCACAGTCCCCAGAGGCAGCCCAGGCCGAGGAGGGGCCCCTGGTGATGTAGCCGCAGGTGGCAGGGGCGGCCAGCCCCCCAAGCCAGTTACTGTAGCTCACGCTCGAGGTGTCCAGCCAGGTCCCCGGACCTAGGAGGGCAACACGACCACCAAGACTTGGCAACTTTCTTCCTACCCCTTTTATAAAAATGCAGGACCTGCCCCAGTATAACTCGTTGTGTGCAGTGGTGCTCAATCAATGCTGACGGGCTGGAGGCCCCCATCCCACACCAGGGCAGGGGCCCTTCCCCACTGATATTCTCAAACACTCCACCGTAAGCACTGGGGCACCAAATTGGGGAGCCCACAAAAGGCGGTTTGATTAAATTAATGTCACTTCCAGCTCTGTCTAGCTATAATCTAGAGAGTGGCCCTAAAGTGTGCCAGAGTATGTTTGAAGGTGTCCCCTACTTCCCCATAAGCAGGGTCTCTTGTCAAATATATCTGAGCAGGCCGGGCACAGTGGTTCACGCCTGTAATCTCAGCACTTTGAGAGGCCTGCTTGAGGCCAGGAGTTCAAGACCAGCCTGGGCAATGTAGTGAGACCCCCGTCCCTACAAAAAATAGAAAAATTAGCTGGATGTGGTGGCACACCCCTGAGGTCCCAGCTACTCGGGAGGCTGAGGCAGGATTGCTTGAGCCCAGGAGTTTTGAGGCTGCAGTGAGCTATGATGACACCACTGCACTCTAGCCTGAATGACAGAGCCAGACCCTCTGCACCCCCCAAAATATACATAAATACATATATACACATATATATATCTCGGCAGTGCTGAGTTTAAATGTAAGCAGTTCTTGTTCCTTCAGGGCTCTTCATACCTTGAAAACACTGAAGAAACTCTTGAAGAGGTGTTTGTGTGTGTGTGTGTGTGTGAAACAAGAGCAGCTTGGGGACACCAGAGAGCTAGAAAACACTAGATATAAAAATTTACTATGAAGATTCAAAAATGCAATTATTACATTTTTAAAAGAAATTCATGCAAATGGGTTTTTTTTTTTAATTCAAACAGTACAAAAGGGTCTAAAATGAAGACATCTTCCGTCTCCCAGCCTCTGTGCTGCTGCCATGATTGTTAGGTTTCCTGTAATTGGTTCCAGGCTGCATTTTATCCACATATCAGCAGTTGTGAGTGCCTGAAATCTACGCACACTGGTGCCATTGCAGTGCACACGGTGTCTGGCCCTTGCTTCTTTAATAACATTAAGCATTGGAGGTTGTTACCTATCAGCCTGGTGAGACCTATTTCATTTTCTGTGAAGCCACGCAGCACCCCTTGAAAGATTTTAACAGTCACAACTCCTCTAGTCACACGTGAATAGATATTCAAGATACAGAAATTGGCAATTGCTGCGTCTCCAAGTCAAGAAACCATTCAATGGATGTTGCCTGCGGAGGCGTCTTAAGAATTTGTGTCCCCTTGGCTGTGAGTTTCCTTAAATGAGCTTCCCCAATGGCTCGTTGGTTAAGACGTTTCCATGCACGCTGCTGTACTTCTGGCGGTGCTCAGCTCAGGGCGAGTTACTCACTTCTCAAACCCAGTAGCTTCTACAGGGGCAAAGAGAACCTCAGGCACCAGTGTGGTGCACAGGGCAAGTCAGGCTTAGGAGTCGCTCTGGCTGGCCTGAGACCCCCCCGCCCTGCATGAGCCACCCAGCTCGAGCAAGTCAGCTCCTTCTCTCTGGACTTAATGTTTCTCATACGTAAAAGAGGAGTAGCCAGGCCCAGCTCATCGGGTTGGTGTGAGGATTAAATGCAAATGTCCCTTTGTCTGTTCTCTCTGGTGTATAGGCACTGGGAAAACAAAAATGGCCAGAATATGGTTCTTTTCCTTGGAGTGCTCATAGTCTAGGAGGGAGACAGACACCTAAATCATTAAAGCCACACCAAAAATGCTCTCATAGAGGCGGACGGGCCTACCTGGCTGGGGTGAGGGATGGAGGGTAAAGGAGAAGTAACAGATTTCAGGAGACTGTTAAAATCAGACTTTCTAATGCAAATGGAAACGTACTGAGCACTTCACTTGCTCTAATCTCATAGCAAGTGGGGAAAGACATGCGGACTGAGCTGTTTAAAAATAGCTTAGTCATTATTTTCTGAGATTCAGTTTTCTCATCTGTAAAATGGAGACAGCGATAATAATTTTCTCATTGGTTATTGTAAGGACTCAACATGATACTGGCCATGAAGCACGCAGGATAGTGCCCTGACTATTCTAGCAAGAGCTGAAGAAGTCACAGTTAGTGTTATTATTGGGCGCGCGCAAAGAGATGGAAATTTCTAGAGTGTCAGCTATGTGCCCGATTCTGTGCAAGACACTGCACATGAATTATTTTATTTGATCCAGAACATAACCAAAGAGAAGGATTTCCTTACCATGAGCATTGGGACATGTTAATTTGTTCCGTGTTGCTCTGGGTGAGAAGTGACAGCAATCACAGCACCTACCTTCTGTGGTTCCATTCGGTGCTGAGTTCCCCGTGAGTCCAATCCACCATTCCCTGTCCTGGGAGATGTGCTTCTGCAGAAACCGCTGGGTGCCTTCATCACGGATGAAGACCAGGTGGCCTCCTTGCCTCTCACACCAGCTCTGGGCACCATGGAAGGGGCGTCCGAGTGGCACGAATTCATAGCAGGCATCTCTGAAGGCCGCCTGGCTCTTAGAGCAAAAGCTGCCTTCCTCTGGCTTAGCGGTGGTGACCCTAAACCTCAGAGCGAGCCCCAAGAGGACCAAGCCCACTGCTCTCATGTTGAACCGCCGTTGGGGCCTGCCAGTAGCGCTTGCTCCCGGGGTCTTCATATCCTGCTGCCTTCACAACCACCTGCCATCCATCTTCCTTCTCTCTTCGCATCACATGATAGCAGCTACCTTTTGTTTAAGAAACAAAAGACTCAGGTTGACAGTGTCTGCAGTTCTATGTCACCCAGCTCTTTGTTCAGTGGCTGTTCCAAAGCCCGTTACCAAATGGCCTTCTAGAGAAAGATAAAGTTGCTGGATCACCCGTCTGCTTGTCTGGACGACTGTGAGCGTCCGATAAAGTCCTTGGCATTGATTTTATGTCATCGCCCTGAGGGCCAAATGTTTCATGAGAAGCCATCAGCATGTGGGAAGTATGTGATAAAAGAAAAGTGGCAAGAAAGTTAGAGTTATGGGATGATAAAGAAACGATATCCTACCCTATTGTCTAGAGGGGTGACTGCGCTCGCACGATAATCGTTCTCTCCCCAGCGTGGCTGAAATCCTGATGGATATTTGGTCTCCTCTCTGATTCATCGCGTTATCACTCATGCCTGCTGGGGAAGAAAAATTCCCTAGAAGAAATTTATTTGGTGTCATCATGAAAATAGCATTTACTCAAAGCTCAGACCTGCCCATCGTTACCCACTACCTAAACCCCCCAGTGGGTTTCCATGACCTATGGGTCAAGTTCAAACTTCCTAGCTTGGTACACAAGGCTCTGTATGTTCTGGCCCCTGACAGTATTTCCAAACATATCCCCCAAATGTGGGGAAACAGGCTTTCTCATCCCCTGCTCTTGCGAGTGTGAATTGGTACAATTTCTTTCTTTCTTTTTCTTTTCTTTTTTTTTTTTTTGATCTCTAATCTTGTTTTATTTTTGTTTTTGTTTTTGTTTTTTGTTTTTTTTGAGACAGAGTCTCACTTTGTTGCCTGGGCTAGAGTGAGTGCCGTGGCGTCAGCCTAGCTCACAGCAACCTCAGACTCCTGGGCTCAAGCAATCCTCCTGCCTCAGCCTCCCAAGTAGCTGGGACTACAGGCATGCGCCACCATGCCCGGCTAATTTTTTTTTCTATATATTTTTAGCTGTCCAATTAATTTCTTTCTATTTTTGGTAGAGACGGGGTCTCGCTCTTGCTCAGGCTGATCTCGAACTCCTGAGCTCAAACAATCCGCCTGCCTCGGCCTCCCAGAGTGTTAGGATTACAGGCGTGAGCCACCGCGCCCAGCCTGTTTTTGTTTTATTTCAGGATATTACTAGAGGTACAAACACTTTGGTTACATATATTGCCTTTGCACCACCCAAGTCAGAGCTACAAGCGTGCCCAGAAAGTGTGCACTGCACCCATTAAGTGTGAATTTACCCATCCTCTCCTCTCCCTTCCTACCTGCCCGACACCCGATGAAGGTTACTTCCACATGTCCACATAAATGTTGATCAGTTGGTGCCAATTTAATGGTGAGGACACGTGGTGTTTGTTTTTCCATTCGTGTAATACTTCATTTCAAAGAATAGGTGCCAGCTCCACTGTGGGCCGTGTGACAATATCTATCAAAATTTAAAAAGCACAAACTCTGTAATGCAGCAATTCCACTTCTAGGAATGATACCGACAGATACCGATTTCATACATGTGTGAAATGTCATTTGTATAAGGTTGTTCATTACAGAATTTTATAACAAGGGAAAATTGGAAACAACCTGAATGTCTACTGATAGGAAATTTGTTAACAAAATTTGATACATCCCTCATACCCACTAAAACATGAGCAAATTCTTCCCATACAAAACTGGAAGGATCTCTAAGATTTTTGTTAATATTTAAAAGCAAAGTATGAGACATCGTGCATGGTCCAATCCTATGTGTATAAAAACATATGTAAGTATTTATCTGTATGTGTATAATGTATCTCATAAAGAACTTAAACTGTCAACAGTGACCTCCTGAGAGGAGAACTAGGCAGGGAAACAGAGGCGGGAGGGACAGTGGAGATTTTGTTTTGTTGGCTACCCTTTTGCAACTTTTCTATTTTGTACCAAGTGAGCATATTATGTATTCAAAACTAATAATTTTTTTTTTTTAATGTTTAAAGACTTTTTTTTGTAGAGATGGGTCTTGCTATGTTGCCCAGTCTGGTCTCAAACTCATGGCTTCATATGGTCCTCCCACCTCAGCCTCTCAAAGTGCTAGGATTACAGGCATGAGCCATTGCCCAGGTGGCAAAACTAATAAATTATTTTTTTAAAAAACTCTCGTGGGGGATGTGGGGCCCATCCTCCCCTACAAGTTCAAAGCCGCAGCTCCTGCTCACTCTCTCAGTGCAGTGCCGTGACCTTCCCTGCCACATCTGGGCATTGCCTGCGCTGTGCCCTCTGCCAGGGACGTCTTTCTCCCCAGCCCTTCCCTCACCACTTCCTTACCTTTTAAAGACTCAGCTCAAATGTCCCTTGCTGGCCGGGTGTGGTGGCTCATTCCTGTAATCCTAGTACTCTGGAGGTGGAGGTGGGAGGATCACTTGAGGTCAGGAGTTCCAGACCAACCTGAGCAAGAGCAAGACCCTGTCTCTACTAAAAAAATAGAAAAAAATAATTAGCCGGGCAGCTAAAAATAGAAAAAAATAGCCAGGCGTGGTGGCGTTCACCTGTAGTCCCAGCTACTCGGGAGGCTGAGGCAGGAGGATCGCTTGAGCCCAGGAGTCTGAGGTTGCTGTGAGCTAGGATGACGCCATGGCACTCTAGCCCGGACAACACGGTGAGACTCTGTCTCAAAAAAACAAAACAAAACAAAAATATCACAAATGTCCCCTCCTTTTGTGACCTTCACAGAGCTTGCCTCATATAATACACCTCTCTCTTCTGTAAGTTTCCTTTTTCTTTTTTTTTAAATAATAGCATTATTGAGCTCTGTCTCACAAAGCATACAATTCACTAATTTAAAGTGTACAATTCAATGGTTTTTAGTATATTCACAAGGTTGTGCAACTATCACCATGATTGATTTTGGAATATTTTCATCACCCCAAAAGGAAACCCTGGACCCATGAATCAGTTATTCCCCATTTCTCCCTCCCTTGTCTCCTGACAACCACTCATCTGCTTTCTGCCTCCACAAACTTTCAGAAAAGATGTCAAGTAAATAGTTCATCATGGCAGGGTGGCCAGAGACTTCAGAGAACACAGTTGTCTAATATCTGGTTTCAAGTTGTTAACTTGCTCTGACATAAGTCATTTCTTTTCTCCCACAGCCTCTGGCCACCACTGATCTATTTTCTGTCTCTGTGGATTTGTTCACTCTGGATATTTCACATAAATGGAGTCAGACAGCATGTGGCCTTTTGTGTCTGGTTTCTTTCACTTAGTGTCATGCTCTCAAGCTTCCTCCATGTCGTAGAGCGTATGAGCACTTCACTCCTTATGGCTGAATAATATCCGACTGCATGGACAGACCACATTTGTTTATCCAACATCAGCTGATGACCACTGGGGTTGTTTTACTCGGTGAGTTTCTTGGGGGAAGGAAAACATGGCTGAATCTCTGTCTATCCCATGCTGGCTCATAGCAAGAGCTCAGCGAGCGTTTTCCAGCCTGGCCCCATCTCCTGGGCTCCTGGCAATGACCTTTGGCCTCCCCTTCCCTTTCTTAGAAACCTTTCCAAGCCCTCTGGAGTGGCCCTGCAGGACAAGAATGGGGAAGGCCCAGAGCCCAGGGCAAAATACAGCGTCGTCTCTGACTCACGGCTGGAACCCAGGCTGGCCAGAGCAGGCCTGTTATCTCCATTAGCAAACTGTGCGGAAGGCCACACGCAGTGATAATGTATCTCCCGGGTAAAGGCTTCGTTTATGTCCCTAATGGAACATGCTTAGAGACATTTGATAACAAGCGCAAATCTGCAGGCTAAATTCCATGTCCACATTCTTTACATTCTGATAAATTGCAGATTCCCGGGCACAGAATTCCTCTTGGTGACATCAGCTCCCAATGTCCCTTAACCTCTGTGTACGTGAAGCTCCACTGAAAGTCAGCAGGACACGCTGGACCAGTGTGAGCGTGTCTCCAGGGATCCGACCCAGCCGTCTGAGCCTCCAAGCAGGACCAGAGGACAGAAAGGGCGAGCATGGCTTAAACAGGGCATCGAGTCCATGAAAAGAACCGTAAAGACATTTACACCCCGTGGCCCAGACATTCCGGTACGGGGAATATACCCATTTTAGTTTGGATCCTCCCCAAACTGGTCAAGCCTAGAATTCAAGTGCAAGGCTTCTATTTGGGAGAGGACCCAGGAAACGCTGGCAGTGGAGGGAGTACATCTGTCTACAGGAATCGGTGTCTTTATTGGTCCTAGTGAATCTTTGCTCTCCCGTATATTGGAAAGATGACATAGCAAAAGAATTCTCAAGGTCCCGTCACGCTAATGCATTCGCATGTCCTCGTGGTGCCTTCCCACGAGTGTCCCCTTGAAGACAGGGGTTTACCCAGACGCAGTCATAGCACGTGCGTGACTTGCTCCTGTTGCACCCTGTGCACGCTTAGCATTAGGCAGTGGCCTTCTCCGTGTCGCTGGTGGGCTCTGACATCAGCATGCCAGGGGCCGAGCCTCCTTTCACCAAATGGACGTTTGCTAAACCATTCCCATGTTGCTAGAGATGCCATGTGGTTTTTAGTCATCTGTTTTTCATGTGTTTGGCTTTGCACTTCTGGTCAACACTGCTGCAAACATCCTGCATGTACCCTGCAGTCGGCTGCGTTATCTTGAGGACTGCGGCCGACGCTGTCAGTGCCCACCCTCACCCAGCCACCGCGTGCGGCTTCTAATCACAAACACCTGCGGCTCTGCCTCCCTCTGCACCTGCAGGACAGGATGGAAGGGCCTGGAAGTTAGCACCTCTCGGGAGAAGCTCCACCTGGATTGGCCAGAGCTGGTGGGACGATGCCCTGACACCTCGAGGTAGGTCTCAGGCACGCTCACGCCGTCTCCCAGTTGCCCAGCCAGACTGGGTTTCAGTTGCTCTTG